GATCTTGTTCAGTCCTGCCAGCAACGGATTCAATCACCTTCCTTTGGATTCCATCAACTTCCTTGGCTGCTAGCTCAGGCTGCCAGGGGAGCTGACCCAAGTGGTGCACACCATTTGTAATTCCTGAGCTGAGTTTCAAACCTAACCTCCTGTCATAACCAAGACCACCTCCTTTCACCTCTAGAAAATTGCCCACCACGGTATTCTCACCCACTGCTGGTGAAACCTACATCCATTCCTTGGGTTATCTCAAAGATGCACTTTTCTAATCTTTCCTTCACTTGCCTGTGAGCTGCACTCTCCAAAACTGATCTAGAAATCTAAAACTCAGATTCTCTCCTAAACAAAGCTCCAAATACTTGTTACTTTCAACCTCCCAAGCTCCATTCATTGCCAGAACCTCCTCAAATCAGTTAAGGTAGCAGAAAGGAGTAACTAAGTAGATCTTTAAAACCTGCTTTGTTATAAAGCGGGTTCAGTTCTAGTAATAATAAGTTCTAGTTCTAATAATAATAATAATCCCTCCAAAAAATAAAACAATAATAAATTGGTCATTTTCAATCCACGACTGTCTGTGGGACACTGCTGTGCGCAATTGGCTGCCGCATTCGCCCACAAATATACAGTCAATTCACTTTACAGTATATTCTGTGAAGCGCTTTGCGACGTCTAGAAGACGTGAAAAGCGCTATATCAAATGCAAGGATTATTATTAAGATCCTTGTTCTGGTCTTCATAAAATTCTCCACACTCACCCCACTATTGCAATTTTAATCCAACTATTCTCTTGCCAATATACTACAACTTGCATTTGTACAGCACCCTTCATGCCGGACTGCGTCAATTACTAATAATAATCCTTGGGTATATAATAATTCTTGCATTTGATATAGCTCTTTATCAAGTAGTCGAGACATCTCAAAGTGCTTCACAAGATATACTGTGAAGTGGATTGACTGTATTTTGCGGGCAAGATATGGCAGCCAGTTTGCTCATAGCAACATCCCACAAACAGCTGTGAAGTGAGGGACCAATTTGTTTTGTTTTTATCCTTCACAATTTGTTCATTCAAATTCTCATTCACCATTTCTTGTCCTCTACTAACAGACAAGCCATCATCCATCAGGCCCTATGCTCTGGAACTCTCTTACAAAATCAATTTCCCTTGCTATTTCTCTTAAAAATCTCCAAAAAACATCCATTTTACTGTGGATTTTGCCAACATCTTTAAATCCTAACCTGTCCCACAATTACATCTGTCAAGCAATTTGATGCTTTTTTTTTTAAAAATAGAGCTATACAACTGCAAGTTTTCCATAAGATTAAATGTTCAACTTTGTAAAATATTATTTTTCCAATTCAATTAAAGATCTTCGACATCAGACAGAGTCCTTATGATTCATTAATGTTCAGTTAAATTAAAATCAAACTGCATGGTGTCAAGGAGGGGTGAGGGAGTGAGAAAGAAAAGTTTTACAGCATCAAATCTCCTGTCAAATTACAGTTTGGGCTCTTATTGCTTTAAATACTCATTAGGATTGCCTTGACTGTTAGGACTGCTAAGGAAACGGAAGCACTGAAACTAACCCGCAAGATTCTGTAATTCATCCAAGCTTTCCTAAAGTCATTCTGCACCACTGCCAACTGAGCAGTTTTCAGTAGCAAGGAGATACATCCCAGCGGATGTGAGATCAAGCAGAATTCAATTCACTGCTGCTCATTTCAGAAATAGGTGTACATCAACTGTGATTAAATTTAAAACATGTAGCTAGAGTGTTGTTCTATTCCAAACTATCTACACGAACCTGAAATTAAAGGTAGCCACTTTATAAAGTGTCTGTCCATAAGTACATAGGAAATTCTGCTTTCTACACGGTGAGAAACAGCATGAGCATAGTTGAGCCATTTTCCGTGATGAATGGTAATATCCAGGTTTCGGGAATCCAACTTATTGAAGAAATTATTCTTTTGCATATTTGTTTAAGCAATCAGACAAAAACCTAATGAAAATGAAAAGTATCCCAAGTAAAATGAAACCAGGTTTAGATTATGGAAATCAGACCCGAAAATGTTGAGATTAAGGTTCATTACAGGAAAACAATGTATAATGACCACTGCTGAATCTGAATTTAAGTGGTCTTTGAAGACAGATGTTTGCTACACAGGGAAGTAGTTAACACTTCTGTTCATTTTCCCTGCTCCTTCAGCTTTTTTTAATGTGAAGGTTTATTAAAGTAATGTTGAAGCAATTATTCCCAACATTGAGCTAATACATATAAGTAAATTGTATTCAAAAAGTCACAATATAGCTTTCTATTGCAAATGTTACAAATAAAATCCCTTTGGATTCAAAAATAACTCAACTGCATATGACAGCTAAAACAAGCAGATTCATCTGCTTTAATCATTAACCAAGCAAACATACTACACTGTTTTGTGCTCACAAACCCAACAATCCAGTAATCTTTTACGAAAATTCAAAATTTAGTGTATTTCTTTAAAACTTCCAAATTTAAAAAAGGATTTTACACATTATGCTTTTGTTCACAAATATGATGTATAGTGCAAGTCTGGTCCCCTTTCAACAATCATCTGTTTCATCATTCTGGATTGCCTGTTTATGTAACAATGCTTTTACTGGATTTTCAGTGAGTCACCTCACTTGCCTTGGAACTGCAGATTGTATGCCTGAACACAATTTGACGATTCTTCCTTGGAACCCAGACATAAAAGAGTACAATACTGGAAAGCTTGCGGCCCATTCCTCGAACCCTTTGCCAAATAAAATATAGTAAAGTAAGTTGACGAACCATGTCCTCAAAGTGAAATTATAGCAAGCCATTTAAAAAAGGAAAGGCTTCACCAATGACCTCGCAGTCAAAGACACTGGCTATTTAAACCAGAATATGCATGTTCTATGATGTGTTTCCAGTCTGCTCGGAGTTAACCAATCTCAGCCAAAGACCAGTTGAATATTGTACAATTGGCACGGTAGGAGGATCTTTACAGGACAGCTTGTAATTTGCCAGCCAACTTGATGTTCGAGGTCCAAGTCCAATGCCACCTGTCAGACATTCAGTTTACTTATCATGTTTGGGTAGAGTGGGAAGCATTAAAAGCTAAATATCAGAAATAGAGTCTCAGTTACACAATGTGATTATCTAGTGGTATAGAATTTATGCAGCAAATTCAGAAAGAGATTCCCTAGGAAGAGAACCGTGTCTATGGTAAATACGAAGGCATCACAAGCAATACTATTAAAAGCATCAACACAGTAAGTTTCCAAGTACAACTAGAAAAAGCATTGAAGAAAAATCTGAATGTTTCAACTGGTGTTAAGTACATTTGTCAAAATAATCTGAACACAAAATGTGACTCCTGCGGTCTATACCCTTCTTAAACAATTTTTTGAACATCAGAATGATTGCAGTCTACTCAAAGCCCAGTCTTTAGGGTTTGGAGTATCAGGATACATTGGACAAATTTTACATTCTAAATGCATCAAATTTTACAGACAAAACTTTTGTAATCTCCAAATTTGTTAAACAGCATGCAAATTTCACTTGATGAACATTCAGCAACCATGTCACAGCATTAATTTGCAGGCAAGTACACCGACATAATTAAATATCTAGGTATCTACCTACTGTCCAGAACTTCAGATGAATAAGAATGACCCTATTTAAATTATAATGCAAAAATACTACAACAAAATTGAAGTTTATTACACAAATGGAAGAGCTCACTTGTCCAACAACAGACAATGTAATCAAGCTGTCAAATTCTCTCACGATGCTGTCAAACATAAGACTCCCATTACTCTGGTATTAACACAAGAATGCTCTATGAATTCAAATCATAATTCAACAATGGATCAGCAACCAGGGTAATACAAAGTGATGATAGAGTTAAAAGCATAATATTTCCCACAACAATTAAAGCTTTAAGACCCTCATCAAACAGTTTCTACATTAACAAATTAATTGCTAGACTTCATTCCACACAGTCTTGGAAAATATACTTCTGTTCCATGACCAAAACTTCTTAGAAATTTGAATCAGCTTCACTGGGCTCTCAAGAGTAAAATTAATATACACCCAGTGTACCACAAGAACTGAACGCAGACTAAGCTCTACAGATAGTGATCCAAACTAAAATGATCAACCAGTTTTATTTAGTTTTATTTTTCAGAGGAATAAATGGAAACAAATCACTCATTGTGAAATTATTTGTTACAGAAAAGAATAAAGCTTTTTGATGGAGTGATGGCAGATTTATGGAAACACCAGAATGCCAATTCTGCAGGATTTCAGCTCATGCATTATGACTATTAAGAAACACTACTGAAATAAAGCTACATTAACTTTCTTACTGCAATACTAAGCCATTCTCGAATACAAAGAGCAAGTTACAGCTTGGTCACCGAATACTGCGAGCACTGGACCAACTGTCTCAAAAGCTGATTGTATGACCATCTCAAAAGATAAAAGATCAAAGATTAACGAGACTTCATAAACAAACCATCTCAAGCTCAACTCTGCAACTCAAAATGAAAAGTTGGTATTCGGGTTGACAACAACAACTTGCATTTATATAGTGCCCTTCATACCAGACGGTGTCTTGGAGCACTTAAATAAATGTGAGTGCATGCCCATAGCAACTAGACAAAGAGTACGCTTCAACAAGGTTATGTCAGCAGTGCTCATAGTGTAAAATTTGGACTGCCTTCATATCGGTTCACACCAAGCTTCATTGAAAATTACAGTGATACATTTTTACTCTATTTTATGTCACCCTCTCTTTGGACAGTTTCCAATGGATTATGAATATCCAAACTCTAAAAAATCTCTGCATGGGAGTGGTGGGGGGTGTGGGCAAAGAGCAGAAACAGAAAAATCAGTGCGCAGTGACTTCACCTCTGTTACTTAAACAATCAATTAATACAGGAATTTATTCTTGAACCTGTAAATGGACGTGCATTGAATAAATTGCCGGCTTACCACTTTTTTCTGATGTTCTCAGAAAGATCATGTCAGCAGGAATCCGCTGGTTCTGAAACAGAAGTAAACAAATTGTGATCATTATTTGTAAGTTAAATGAAAGTAATCATTGAAAAGATTTTTGGATTGGTAAACCACTGAGTAAGATTTTTCTTAGTCTATGAAACCGTTCACTATGCTTAACAGTCTCTAAACTACTAGAGTACCACTTGTGTGTGAGTAAGATGGAGCTCAGGCAATACTAATTTTTAGAAAGACAACGCTATAATCTATCAACGAGAACCGGTTGAATCAAGATATCCTTTACGGACTGAAGAATACAGAAGAAAATGTTAAACGCCTGACTCAATCACATTCTTGATTATTTTGATTGTCTTGAAGGCGTGATAAGCGCTATATCAAATGCAAGGATTATTATTATTATTCGTATCATGAGATCAAGGTAATTTCCAAAACTCAAGCTTCCTTTCTGTGCACCATACATTATGTGGAACTCCATCTACGATCTCTTCCAAAGGATAATCCAAAGTGTTTTAACTCATTGCAATATTTCAGGCTCATACATATTCTATCCATATGAACGACAAACTACTTTGCCTTCAAACTATTGTCCTTCTGTACTTGCTAAATTATGTAATCTGTCATACTAGTCAAATTGAAAGTTTTAGCTCAATTCATGATTAGCTAATCTGTGATCACATGTATATTTTTGGTGATCTTATCACTTTGGACATTTCCAAAGCTGCCATCTTATTCACACAAAAGGAAATCAACAGCTGTACCAAGTTACCAGGAAGAGTCATAGAGTACAGCTGAAACCAGGCTGTTGGGACTCTTAATGGTTGGATACTATAATGGGAAGGCAATTTTGCACAGATTAGATAAAATGAGCATCATCCAATCGTCTCTCATGACCTTACATTAAAATTATGTTCATAACAATCTAATTTCCTCAGACATCAGTCAGGATTAGCCATAACTTTCCACAGCTGCATGTCAACAAGACAAACCAATTGGTTTGGTTCTTGCCAGTACTTATGTGCCTCTGGCTCAGCTTCCAACAACCTCCCTGGCTATTCACTCGAGCGGAATCTGGTATTAAAAAATTCTATCTCTGGCATGTGGCCAAGTTTACCTCAACCTCACAATCTCAGTTGTTGAAACTTTTATTCGTGCTTTTATCACCTAAAGAAGAGTTTTCTTTTCTAGTGTTCACTTTGCATCTATTTTGCAATCAATTTTGGAAAGACTAAAAGAGTGCATTCACTAACGGAGTACCTCATGCGAAAAGCTATATGTGCCCCAAAGGCTTTCTCTACAAGTTATGAACATTGCACAACTTAAGACACAAGAATATTAAATCTGATACTCAAAAACAAATACATACTGCATTTAGGATAGCATTCTTTAGGAAATTTCTATGTGGCCCTGAAGAGCAAGAATAAGTTAAGGGTATGGGAAAAGGGCAGGAAATTGGTATGAGTAGTTAGCTCCATTAAGTTTGATAGACCTAATATCGTCATCTTATTTCTATAATTTTAAAATATTAACATTTTTAAATCATTTTGTTCAGTGATTTATTAATGCACAATGCAATTTACGGTTTAATGTAATTATATAACTTATGCTTTGCATATCAAAGATGCAATGTTGAAGTTTAGTCTTCTGTGCTTTCATTAAAGATTTGAAGGAAAGATCTTAAATAAGTACATTTGGAGAATCTGGCATTTTGCTAATTGAAATAGATATTGTTGGTGATGTGGTTTTTGCAGAAACATTCAGAATTCTCATACTAATTTACTTTAAGTGCTTTCAGGTGATCAGATATGCTGGATGTAAATTAAACATAAATTCTACATGGTGGACAAACCAGATGGGATAGGCCAATTATATTTGCCAAGAAGAGCGCATAGCATAACCGCAGTAATTACTTTTGTGATTTCTCATCCAACTATCCTGGTGGCAAATTAATATTCTGGAATACTTGACTGAATACTTGTCAATGATATTTGGAATCAAGGTCTTGTGAAAAACAAGAACACTCCTCTGCTTCAAAAAAATCTTAAAAACACTTCAGACCAGATCTTGCATGCAGTTAGCAGACAGGACAATTCTCTGTGACTCAGTTCAGGCCCCAAAAAACATTATAATGAGGTGTAGATTAAATCTCTGAATACCTGTGCTATTTTTAAAGATTCAGACATCTACAACAACAAAATTACATTTGTATAGCGCCTTTCACGTCGGGAGGACGTCCCAAGGCGCTGGACAGACAGAGTAACAGACCCGAGCTGGGGGTCGGGGTGGGGGAGGTTGGAGGGTGGGCGGGGCAGGGAGCTCGAAAGCACAGTCAAAGAGGAGGGTCTTGAGTTGGGTCCTGAAGGTGGTAAGGGAAAATATTAATGATCATTTTCAGTGTCTGGCTTGATACTAGACAAATATTAAATCATTTAGCACATCAGATATTGGAGGTGAAAATGTGCTTTGAACAGGGAAAAGTACCTCAAGATGATGGGAGACCCATGGTCATCATGCCAACCCATGAGTTCCTCAGCCCTGAGGCTATTGTACCAAAGTACCTCTCCTCCAAAGAAAACCTGTGTAATAATAATCCTTGCATTTGATATAGCCTTATCATGTCTTCGAGACGTCTCAAAGCACTTCACAGAATATCCTGTAAAGTGAATTGACTGTATATTTTGTGGGCGAAACGCAGCAGCCAATTGCACACAGCAGTGTCCCACAAACAGTCATGGATTGAGTGACCAAATTATTATTATTAATTTTTTGGAAGGAATTATTACCCCGATGATACGCCAATGACTAACAACCGGATTTCTACTCACTGCTAGGCAAACAAAGATGTGTGGAGTAAGGAAACTTGCCCAACATTTCGCCCAGCCGGGAATGGAACCCAGGTCCTCTGCTTGTGAGGCAAGCGCTCTAACCACTGAGCTACAGGACTACACAATGCATTACAATTCAAATTCTCAAAATCTGAATCAATCAATCCAGCCTATAGTTTCCAACAATAGGTATAGTTGGAAAAACAGTCACCTGTTCCACACAAGCAATCGTGCTCTCTGTGATTGTTCTGCCTTCCACTAATTTGGCAAAAATTCAAACAAACAGTTCTCAGGTTACAGTTCTCGTGCCAACAACCCTGCAATGGTGCACCAACAAGTGGTTGAAACCGGAGCAAAAACAATGCATCTGAGCTGTCAGAATACAGCAGATAAAATAGAGACTGTGCAGGTGGTTTACACTTCGGGAAAATAATTCCATTATTATTCACGGTCTTTCTGAGTGTTTCGATGCAATAAGCTCTTTGAGACATCTAGAAGACATGAAAAGCGCTATATCAAATGCAAGGATTATTATTATTTATACAGAAACTATTCTCATTAGAAAAGGATTAAATACTGTATCAAAGCTTTGAGAAATTATCCTACGTGAAGGGTGCTATATAAATAAATAATCCTTGCATTTGATATAGCGCTTTTCACGTCTTTTCGACGTCTCAAAGCGCTTCACAGAATAGATTGTAAAGTGAATTGACCATATATTTGTGGGTGAAACGCGGCAGCCAATTGAGCACAGTAGTGTCCCACAAACAGTCGTGGATTAAAAATGATCAATTTATTATTGTTTTGTTTTGGAGGGATTATTATTAGGCGTGTGGAGTAAGGAAACTTGCCCAAGGTTTCGCCCTGTCTGGAATTGAACCCAGGTGTCTCGCTTGCAAGGCAAGTGCTCTACCACTGAGCTACAGGACTCCATATATATAAATGCACATTGTTGGATTTCTGAATTATAGTTTAAAGCACACTAAACTTTTTAAAAAAGAAATGGACTTTTATGTAAAAGCTTCACATTTTTGTGAGCTTTGATTTTTTTTCTGTACAAAAAATCACTGCTTGGGTGTTTAGCATTATCTGAAAATAATAATAAAAAAATTGAAAAGTCATCAATTACAAAATGGCCATGTTTTGCACATACCAATAGCACAGTGCAAACCACCAATAAGAATATTTTGACAGTGATGGCCAGTTTCCTCTTCATATTCATGGCTACTCAATATCAAGTTAGGAGATAAATAATAATCCTTGCATTTGATGTAGTGCTTTTCACCTATTAAGAATCAGATTTTGTAATGAATATTCCTTCAATTTTCTTCCCTTTCCCTTGGGTCAAACACCAACTTCTGTCAACGTTCCTAGGCCTCCACCAAATCCAGTTTGAACTGACCTCCAAAAAGTGCAGGTGTAGATCTAGTGACCATAACTTCCAAATGTTCCACCCACTCCACAAGACAGCAACAGGACTATCCTTGGTACCTTTCCATTGCAAAATATTGTGACCTGGGAGCTAACACTAAATGCTTTGGCCACCTATTTGTAGCACAATGATCCATCCACCCCCCAAAAAAATCATTTTTTACAAAAAATATTGTCAATCCACTTTACAATATATTCTATGAAGTGCTTTGAAATGTCTCAACGATGTGATAAAATAACATCAAATGCAAGGAATATTAGTAAAACACAAAATACTGCAAATGCTGGAAATCTGAAAACATAAACAGAAGTCGTGGAAACACTCAGCAGGTCAGTTCTGACCATGTTCTGACAAAGGGTCGTGGACCCGAAACGTTGACTCACTTTCCTTTCTCCATAGATGCTGCCTGACCTGCTGAGTGTTCCCAGCGACTGATGGCTTTGTTTTGCAGGATTATTGGTATGCATTACTTTTCTATTTTTGCATATTTATTTTAACTTTAATTTTACTTAAATATTCCTCTATTTGTTATATTTATTTTTCACATGATACATTTTGCTGTTTGATAATACTTTTTGGCACTTATCCTCTTTTTATCGATTCAACATTCTTTAATTTGTTCACTTTGATGTTCACTTGTATTATGCTGCCAAAGTGTTAATACAAATGAATCAATTCATTTCTCTTTTGAGTTGTATGATCAATGTGGACAATTTAGCAAATTCTTATTTCTAGTACTTATTAGAAATCTATATCTGGTCATTCACTTCATGCCTATTTGTGGGACACTGCTGTGCGCAAATTGGTTGAGGGAGAGTGCGAGAGATGCACTAGGAAAAAGTCGAAGAGATTACAGTTACAGTACAACTGATGGAAAAAGTTTTAAAATTTGCCAATTTTATTTTGCTTATTTTTGGTTCCCATGTCCCAATTAAGAAATATCAGGTTCTCTACTACGCTTCTCATTTAGAGGATTTAAGAACATGAAGAAATACAACAGGTACAAACCTTCTCAACTATAATAAGATCTCCCACTTGGATGTCAGAGCTCTTCACCTGTACTTTGCCTAAAACAAAAAACAAATTAATTAGTGCACATCAGTTCAACTGGTGGCCAGATTTTTTTTNGATAGGACACAAACTGCCCAATTTGGAATCTCAAAATGTGAAAGATGCAATTAATACAAATCAGTTTGGTAAATTTTGCATTTTACCCCAATATTGTTATCAGTCATTAACCCATTAAGTTTATAATAAATTATATTGGATGTTTTAAAGATACTCTTAATTGCACAAAGCAATTTATTTAAACTCCTTTGGTCACAAATAGCAGTCGACGTGCTACTTGCAATGAGATAAGAAAAAGCAAACAAGTCAGACCTAGCTCGTCGAGCACATCTTTATGAAAAGACAAAGCAATGATAACAATAGTTCCAGCTCAGTAACTGAAGGGTTACAGTCATTACTACTTAAGGCACATTTTACTGATGGACGTCATACTTGGAAATTCTGCAATAAAAGTAGGATGTGAATAAAACTTTATATTATTAAAGCTTTTGGAGCAATTTTCATAAAATATTTTCCCAAGGTTCATTTTTCAATTTATAAAATCTTGTTTCTAATCCTACAGGCCTAATTCCAATGTAATACTGGGCACAAGGCCACAGGAAACTAATGGGAAACTGCATGGATAAAATTCTTGCTCCTTAGGTCATCTCAGATAGAGCCATTTAATACCTACTTATGGAAGTCAGGAAGTCAGTCCCAGTGAAACTATTGCTTTTCATTGCTGGTTGCAGATTTCACACCAGCACTCTGCAACGTACGCATGAGCTTGCAATGGAGAATTTTAAACTGAGAATGACTAGGCAAGAATAAATTCATTGAAGCGCCCTGGGACGCTACTCTGCGTGAATAGCGCTATATAAGTGCAAATTACTATTGCAAAATATAGAACAATTTGTATTTAAATAATGTCCTTCACACAGGATAGCATTTTGAAGCATGGTAAAAATATATACACACACATACATATACACATACAGACACACACTAATATATATCACACCACCGGCGGTATATTGAATCTTGCATCAAAGATTGTCAAACCTGATTGCATCAGTGGAACTTCGGAGGCATCAATTTCAAATTTTATGTAAGTAAATAATTCAGTATTCAAAACATCAGAATTGTTAATTTTCAAAAATTCTAATGATTAGTATTTATAAAAACTACTGACTAACCTACCTACAAATTATTACTGTATGGGGTTGTGAGAAAAATACTCTCACCTCGTATGGTAAGTTTGCTGTAGAGCTGAGAGTTCATCTCTTCATCTCGCTGATAACGACGAAACTCATCCAATGCTTCTCGGACTATTGTCACTGCCATAACAAAACCCTGGAGAATAACAGTTACGGCATTAGGAATAATGAAAAGCAACATTATTAGCATCTATTATGCAAATCGGTAAACCATTTTTTTTGGGGGGTGGTGGGGGGGAGATTTACAGATACCTTTATTTAGGTCATTAACCAACAAAGAAGAATTAACTTTTCATTGACTGTTAATTAAACAATCAGGGCACCCCTATTTCTCCCATATACTAGAAGTCACAATTCACTAATTGACTAACACAATAAGCGCAAATAGCAATAACAAGGCATTTTGACCAAGGTTTATGGTGTTCCCATTTGATATTTTTACTCTATTTCAAGACACACTGATTGTAACATAATGTTACTACAGTATTACCAAAAGTCTTTGAAGTCATTTTGTTCATATATCCCAGGCCAAATGGTCACTGATTTCATCTATTATCCTCCCGACGTGAAAAGCGCTATATCAAATTCAAGGATTATTATTATTATTATGTGGACTCTGAAAACTTGAATGTTGGCTTCTCATTAATGGTGTTTGCTGGATTGCAGTTTACACAATCTAGAAAATTCACAACAGTCCACTCCTCATCTAAAGTCAAATATTGAGCAACAACCCAAATTAGCTCTTTTAAATGTTCTAAAGTGTCTGTAAAAGGAACCCATTTCAAATTTATAATTTCAAATAGACAAAGCAATTTTTGGCAAAATGTAAAAAAGCAGAAGACTACATCAACCAACACTATATACAAATGCTGTATGCATCAAACAGGATTAAGCAGGATACAACTTTAAGGTTCAATGATGGCTCTTGGTTCGATTGGCTAGCATTCAGTATTGCATTGAGTTAAAAATTCAAAATCCTCTAAAATAAAATTGGTCAATTCAAATTGAGTTCAGGTCAGGGAACAAACATCACCTACTCATATAATCGCATTGCATCCTTCTGATGTTTTACCAATGTTGTATGACTATCAAATACAAGAAGCTGCAGTAAGAATTTTTAGCATTTCTCAATTAAAAAATCAGGCACAGAATTTACCCCCAAAAAATCTTGGGTGTTCCTTTTGTTGGTTAAGAAACATTCAGTGACTACCAGTAGGTGGACCACTCTCTCCAGCAAACAGAATCACATTCTTCCAGATCGCTCGCCTGTCTTTAATTTGAAGTACTGATCTCCCCCCCTCCCTTTATAAAATTGTAATCTCCAGTCATTGTGGTTACTTGTTTTTAAGTTTAATTTTGTTTTCTGGGCTTGATCAGCCAAAGAGGGGCAAAATCCACACTCTCCTCGACCCATAAAAGACTTTTAAGTGATTCAGAATCTATTCCATGTCCTTAAGTTACTTTTAGATTTGACAGATTCTGATTCACGTAACAGAAAGTTGAAAGCTGTCAAAAATTATCCAGGTGAGCAATAGAGGCAGCATATGAATTTGCTTAAATTAAGGAGAGATAAGGTTAAAGATCAGTGGTTAATGATTATTGAGAACATTTATTGGAGTTCCTGTACTGAGGTTTCTCCTGAAGAGTGCTTAACAACCAAATAAAATCAGGAAAATATTGTTTTAAAATAACTACTTTGAGAATATTAAAAAATGCATAAAGCATTCCAAACTTAACATTTAACACATTACTCACCAGAGGAGCCCAGTATGTATACAGATAGCCTATCTTCAGTTCTGGTACAAATTGTGAACATGACACCACCAAAAAATAAAGATTCAAGAAAAACTTGAACTGTTGATACAACACCTGCATGATAAAATGATTATAATTAAGATTGATTCATAAGGTTTTTTCTTGCACCATCTTAAAAGCTGTTAAATACAAAGTAAAACCACAGTCACCTACAACTGCATTTGAAGGAAAGTGGTCGGGAAGGCAGGGAGGTTTAGAGAAAGAAGCATAACCCAGACTTGGAAAGAGGAAATAAAGTCTGGAGAAAATTATTCCAAGCACTCCCACGAGAGAGAATATAACGATACACAATAGCTCACAATATCTGCATGCCTATAACCACATATTCATTCAACCACAAAGCAGTGATATCTCACAATAAAGTCACTGTGATTTCATGCCGGGACACTCAGTTTAACAAAGTGGTAGCGGGAATTTGCAGTAGCAAAGGACTTGTACTGTGGGAGCCAGGACTGCAATGTGGGGAGAGAAAAAAAAACTGCGGCAAGAGCAAAATGATTATACATTTCACAGCAGAAAACGTAAAGCGTCTATTTGGAGTCAAACAAGGCACTCGGGTTTGCACCATAGCAAAGTCCTAAAACAGCCATGAGGTGAATACTCAAGTTTATCTGAGAGAAGTTGTTGGTCAGGACACTGGGTCAAACTCCCTTCCTTTTTTGAATAATGCCATGGATTCTTTAACATCCACCTTAAAAAGCAAACAGCAAAGTTTAATGTCTAATTTTGAGCTCAAAGTCTCGACATGGGGCTTGAAACTTCAAGAGTGCTACCAACTGACCTATTGATGCTTCACTGATGTTTTATATCTATAAGTGCACATTTTCTAGTCAGACAACCTTGTGAGGAGCAGATAAATGGTACATCTTTACATTCAGAAAATCTATTTTTGGTGTTTGTGGGAGCTACAGGGATTGGAAGGATTTTTTTTTAAAAAAACTGATAAATGTTCATCCAGCTCTAATAGGAAAACTGAAAAGGCCCAGCAAGTGCAATTAAAGTTGCAGGATTTTGTTATTTTACAGAAAAATACAACCAGTTCTGGAAGTGGGAAATAATGTTAGCAACAGGCAACGTCATAACATAGACACGACTGCAAATTTGTTAAAGCTGCTGAACAAATTATTTGCTGCCTCGAGATTGACTTTGTGGGGTACAGAAATAGAGATAAGGACCAGCACTGTAAGGAGTAATAGAGAAGGACTGGCATTGTCTCTTAGTTTGTAGGTTTTAGATTTGCTGAAAATTTCCAAATGCACGCAAGGTTCATTCACTCACCCCAGGTACAAACGTAAAGAAGTTATACTTCTGGTTTTTGATGGCATTCCTTGGATATTTTTCCTCACACTTCTCTGGACATCCCAGCCATACCGTGCGAGCCTTATGTTCCTTCTTTCTCCGACAGATGTTTGCAAGCCAGTCACAGCAACTACAAGGAAAGGGACACAATTCTAAATATTCATCAACTTCCAGAATCATTTTTTAAAAATTGGGTTAAAGGCAATTGTACCACCTCAAATTAATGGCTTTTATCTAAATTGCAAAAGTATTCTTTGATGTTCCAGAAACATGAGTTCACCACGATAAGCTTTCTTCGAATGTTATTGGGAGGGAGCTCACCTTTAGCACTACTTGAAAACACAAGCCCCAAATTACCAACTTAAACTTTTTTTTCTGTTTCCCAGCTCCTTTTGCTCAAATGTTTTTCATATTGGCTACTCAATCCTTCTCAATCGCGTTTTAAGTCAAGAGTTTTTTTGGTACACATACATGGTTAGTGTGCTTGTGCATTTCAATTAATTAGTGCTCCTTTCAACGTAAAAAGAACGATAAAGTTCAGAACCATTTCCTGGAACAAGTACAACTAAGTAAAAAAAACTTAAGCAGAAAAGGATGAGGCTTCAGTGCGAATTTACATAGTGAGGTATAACGGGCCTATTACAATATGTGCAGCTTCAACTCCTTTATGCTGAGACGAGAGGCAGCAAGTCAACCATATCAACTGAAAAAGAGTTCACAGGAATTCAAAGGCTCTTAAATGACAACAACTTGCATTTATATGGTGCCTTTCACATAGAGCAATGTCTTTGAGTTCTTCACGGGGACACAGTTGGATACCGAAGAAGGAGGTTCAAAAAGGCAGAACTTAAAGATGGAAAGAGAGGGGGTCTGAGAGTGGAACGGGAAGGAAATTCCAGAGCTTAAGGGCATAGGAACTGAAGGCTCAGCCACTAATGGTGGCATTGAAAGGGCATGGGATGCGCAGAAACCCTAGTTAGCTGAGTGAAGGGGGCGAGTGAAGATTGTAGAGATAAAGGGGATCCAGAGACTGGATGGATTTGTAGGTGGGGGACTTCAAAATCAATTTGCTGGGAGATGGGGAAGATAGTGAACCTTTTGATGATTTGATTAACTTTAAGAAGAACGACAATTTGGGGATTAGAAGAGTGGAAGAGAAAACCTTTCCAATACACTTTCTAAATGTAAAGCATCCTATCACAATGCTATTAGGGTCAACACTGGGGTAAACGTAATATGGTGTCTCAGTGCATGAAATGCTCTTTAAAAATCATGTTTTCTTCTTGAATCAACCATAAATTGGGAGTGGTATCCAAGCTCCTTCAGTATCAGTCACTGCACTCAAAAATGTTCGGAGCCTTTAGGAGGGCACTGCTTGGAATAAGACCATGAGTGGGAGAGGTCAGATTGTCACAAAAGCTGACAATATGAGGACACCGCACTTTTGCACTAAAAAGAAACTTTCAGAAAATTCTTAAGAGATGTTTTTAAAAGACTGAATATGTCAGTTTAAATTTGAACGCTAAGAGTTCTATGACCAGCGCTATAGTCTAGATATTGGGGCCCACATCAATCAACGGCTGTTCAGTCTCAAAGAAACTGTTTCAGGCAGTGCCAGAAACTGCACGAGTGGAAATGAAGCAACAGGCTGAATGCTGGATATCCAGATACCAATCGCTCCCTGACCAGAATACTACCTGACAGCCAAGGCAATCATTTCTTAAAGGGAATTTGTCCCAGCTGGATTCTCTTTAAGTTGGATGATCCTATTCCTCTTTGAAGATATTGAACAATTAAAGATATTTTTTGCTTTCAAGAGGATTTTATTTACTTTATGGCATTTTTTTTAACATCCCATATCCTTTTTGAAAAATGGCTCCTTGAATTTAGTAATAATAATCCTTGCATTTGATATAGCGCTTTTCACGTCGGGAGGACGTCCCAAAGCGCTTCACAGAACACACTGTAAAGTGAATTGACTGTATATTTGTGGGCGAACGCGGCAGCCAATTGCTCACAGCAATGTCCCACAAACAGTTGTAGATTGAAAATGACCAATTTATTATTGTTTTTGGAGGGATTATTATTAGGCGTGTGGAGTAAGGAAACTTGCCCAAGGTTTCGCCCTCTGCCTGGAATTGAACTCAGGTCTCTCGCTTGCAAAGCGAGTGCTCTAACCACTGAGCTACAGGACTCCACATAAATAGTAATAAATAGTGATAGTGTAAGAGGATATTCCATTTAGTCTATTGCCATTTTCTGAAGTCTCAATAGATCATTTATTTAGCATCCAATATTATTTTTTATTTCCAAGTCCTAAATACTGCCATTTCACACATAAAAATCAGACACCTAGATTTTATCACTACTGTATTGTCTTGTCCCTCTTATCATATGCCAAGTTTATAGATCCGACTAAATCGACACAATTCAAATCAGCAGTCACTGCAGAAAGCGACTATAATTTTATAATGATCTGATTATTAAAAGCTTTATTCACCATGAAGTGACTGATATTGGTACTTCAAAAAATAATAATAATTTGGTCACTCAATCCACTACTGTTTTTGGGACACTAACGTGGGCAATTGGCTGCTGCGTTTCGCGCACAATATAGTAAATTCTCAAAGACATGATAAGGCGTGCTATCAAATGCAAGGATTATTATTTTTATCCAGCATTCAGGCAGTTGGTTCATTTTCACTAGTGCAGTCTCTGGCACTGCCTGAAGCACTTATTAAGAAAAATATTCAACAGTCTGGAAGGAAACCATCGTATTTTTTGTCAGGTAAAGTGAAAGGATATTGATCCTCCCTGAGCAGCAAAATTCTTTTTTTAAAAGACTGTACAAATAAAATGACTTTATTTTTTGACCCGAGGAGAAAAATTGCAGTTTGCTGCTTTTGAGAAGAGTCGCAGCATTCTTGTGCAAAGAGGCTTTTATTATTTAGGTGAAGGTTTTGTGATACCATACATTTCAATTTAATATATAATAATAATCCTTGCATTTGATATAGTGCTTTTCACATCTTCAACATCTCAAAGCGCTTCACAGAATAGACTGTAAAATGAATTGACTGTATATTTGTGGGCAAAATGCGGCAGCCAATTGCGCACAGCAGTGTCCCACAACAGTCGTGGATTGAAAATGACCAATTTATTAGTGTTTTTTTTGTTTTGTTTTTGGAGGGATTATGATTAGGCGTGTGGAGTAAGGAAACTTGCCTAAGGTTTCGCTCTGCCAGGAATTGAACCCAGGTGTCTCGCTTGCAAGGCAAGTGTTCTAACCACTGAGCTACAGGACTCCACATTGTAGATATGATAAAAAAACATGTATTATTTTGAAACTGTAAAAGAGATTCAGTGGTTAAATATCACAAATAGTTCTATTGTGCAAATAAGGCGGGAGATAATATATGCTGTGTTGTGCCTGAGTCCTATTTACATCCAATATAATTTCTTTATTATCTTTTATTTAAGAGTATAAACTCATTAGATCTACAGATCGCCTACTATTTCTGTAGATTAAGCTTACAATTGCTCAACAAAGCAGGATCACAAATAGTTTTCTTTATGGTATTGCAACCCCTTCTGTAATGCTCTTTGATACACTACGACTGTGGATACAGCAAAATATAGACAGGGAAATTATACACCATGTTCATGATCGGAGACTTATTTTTTAAAAAACTATTAGCAAAGTAATGCACTTAAGCACCAAGCATGCAAATTACACTTTTGAAAGAATCCTCATTTTAATTACAATAGATAACTAGATAACATATCAAGCACTGTATACAGAAAACCAAGAGATACAATCTGTTGAGCAAGATAGTGTATTTATTGTCTATGCAACAGGAAACATAATGTAATAAAAAAAACAAGTTGGTGAGGTCTTGGAGTATCAACTAAAATATTGCAAGTTTCACCAGTTCACCCTACACTACAAAAATCTACATGCCTTAGTTGGGCAGATTTTGTCAGTTTTTAGTGAAACTGTTGGATCAAAACCACCACATCAGAAATCAGACAATTTCAGAAAAAGAGGAACATCTATCACAATCAGCCTACACAAAGTTTCGCTTCTAACTACACAATTTATATCACCCTAATCCCATGAGCGCATACTCAAGGTTTCCCGAAACAAAAAACATTTTTGTTTATAATTATTGTATAACTATTAAAAGCCTACAACTATAAATAGTTTATAACCATTTGGATTATAAATTGTTACTGTCGTTTGAATTCTCAGGAAGAAAAAATGACTGGGATAAAAGATATATGTGGAGTATGTCCTGTTCTCACCCAATGCATACATTTACGCACTTAGATTCCAGAGATTGAATTTTTTAAAAATCAGGATGGAAAAATCTTTGTTAAATCATTTTTTTCTCTCTTCCCAAATCTATAGCTTTGACATCAATTGCCCCGCCTCATGCCACCCAGATGAGATCAGCCAACTCAGGACAATTGGGAATATTCCTGGGTCGTATGCTAAAATACTCACTCAAACACACTGAAATGACTAACCTTTTTTGTGCGTTTATTCAGAAAAGTTGGAAGAAACAAAATTTTCAATACATTTTGCCATAGAATTAACATATATTTATGCAAGTTTTCACTAATTGCAATTTGAAACGACATTTTGAGTACAGTATGAAGCTATTGGCCCAGCAAACCAGAAATTCAATTACTGGATTTAATAGCCTGATTTTTGTCGTTCACAGAATGCTACATTTGAGTCTGTGCAATAATCCTATTTGCTTCCCTAAAAATGCAATTTAAAATCTCAATCCTCTGCTACTGGACTACTAGTCCCATAATCTCACAATCACAAGATAGTCTAATTTCATTATGGAAAATATGTTCCACCAATGTTTTACTTAAAATAACACTCAAGGACAACTGAACAAATAGCTAAAGCCTAGAGCTGCATCATGAATTGCTAGAAAATGACAACTGAGACAGTTGGAAGAGTTAATAGCAATGTTACAATGAGGCTAAACAGCATTTATCCCACAATGTATGATAAACAGTTTCAAAGTTTTCCCAGGCTTCAACATAACAAAGGTACCAATAATTGGTTGAAGCACCTCACTGACCAAATTAATCCACACATTAGATGTCCTT